TTAAATTTTTTTAGAATTTTTCTGTGTAAACTAAATGAACGCTCACCTTCCTCTCCAATTAATTGAATCTACAATAATGGGTAATTAAATTAATTAAAAAACGGAAATTTCAATAAACAATTTTGGGAATAAAAGTTCATATTCCAGAGTATTAAGCCACTATTTTAAACAATAATTACCAGTAATTAAAAGGGATTTTAATAAAAATCAGTAAATTTCAGAATTCCATAAACTTTTCTGTAAACATTTTATTTATTTAATTTTTCAAGTGAAAGCTCATCTTGCAGAGGATTGAGCCAGTATTTTGAAGAATTGCAATTGGAAAAGGGCTTTATGCCAAATTAATTAAATTTACAGTGAAGTGTGATGGTGGTAGCATTGAAGGATACACCAAGCGGCGTTTTCCAATTATCGACTGGCTACCGGTGTACAAACCATCGTGGCTACTCCAAGATATTCTCGCGGGTATTACAGTGGGCCTTACAGCCATCCCCCAAGGAATAGCATATGGTGTGGTAGCTGGCCTCAATCCTGAGGTAACCGTTGTGTTATTAAAATTGATTTTCAATCAATCCCACGGCCTAAACCGAATTTTTCCTGACGCTTCCCCTTGCAACGCGGAAAAATTAACGATTCAATTGAATTGATTGAATAATTAGGCGAGTCAATCCCGTTAATAAAGTAGAGTAAACTTCTCAAGTCAGAATGAATAAGTAATGGTTAATAAAATATTTTTATTGCACAGCCCTTCTGTTGTTGGTTTAATTTTGAGATCTCATTATTCGGAGGATTATGATTTTTATTTCAGTATGGGCTCTATGCGGGGTTCATGGGCCCTTTTATTTATATTTTATTCGGGTCATGTCATAATATAACGATTGGGCCTACTGCTATTATGGCCCTCATGGTACAGCCTCTTGTCTTGAATTTTGGACCGGATATGGCGGTTCTAATTTGTTTCCTCAAGGGATGCATTATCGCCGTACTCGGGATTTTTCATTTGGGTGAGTAATCGAAGTAAATTTACTTCACGGGTAAAAAAAATGTAATGGGAATATTTTAGCTATGTGAAGTTGGCATCGAAGTTTGAAAAATCTAACTTTTTTTTGTTGGTTTGGATTGTACTCATTGAGTACTTGAATGTACCCTGTGCACTTTTTTTTGTACCCTCTTACTTTAGCCCTGAAGC